GGAAAATTATTTATTTCAACATGTCCTGACTTCTTTCCCCTTAAACCTTTTTTAATTGATATATTGGATGATATATCCACTTATCTGTCAAAATGTTAATGTAAATTGCATTTCCTTTTCACTGACTCGCATTAATGGTTAATATGAATGATAACTATTCAGTTAACCCTTCCGTCTGTCACTGTAAGTCAAAGGTACTCACGGAAAATAAGTTTCAACCGAAAATATGGCTTAAATCTATATATGGACATTTAAAACAGAACCTTGTTGCAGAAAAAAAAAATCGATAATAACAAAATACGAATTAATTTCATATTATTGTTTAACACTTGATTGAAAAACTATTGATACACATTTTTAACAAAATGTAATATGCTACATTGTACGAAGCTTTAAACTGTTCATATAGACACCATATATATGAAGACTTATAATCACAGCACTTAACATCATACATCATAGTTCAAAGGACCGACAAAAGTAACAACATGTACCATTTATACGGGTCGGAAAGCCCGCAATTTTGATAATGATATATTGTTACACTCTATTTTCCAGATTTGTCGTGATAACAATTTTCTCATCACGTGCACGAGACTACTACAGATCTTCTAAATATTTAACACCCTGACAACAGTGTGATGATTTATTAACTACATGTTTCTCACGTTGTGTATTTTCTTTTTTAATTGCATTAGCAGTAATAGTGTTTTACGATCTTCACGCAGCTTAGAATCCGACAAAGCACGCCGATCGCGGATCAAGAACGGGTTGAAAATTGCAAGGAAAGGTGATATGATCCAGATAGAACGGTCTGGCTTTCTTCATTACGTCATATATATAGGTAAGCTTATTTAAGACGTATTTCCTGTATTACGTTCACAAAAAATAAATGACATGCATGTAAACTTTTAAAACCATTTCCCCTCATTTAGTCGGTTTACCAAATACGTTGCATGCTACTTTAAACTTGTTTTTAGTTTGTTTTACTTTTACTATATACCTGTTACAGTGTATGTTTAACTATGCCCTTCCTTGTGTGACGATACAATCCGTATATTATGTATTGCGTATTTGTTTACATAAAGAAGTATCATTTCTTTCCTGCCATGATTAATCATTTATTAGTGTACATATAATTCAGGCTGGTGCACATTTTATTTATTAACTCATTTGGGAAAACAAAAATACCGATGTGTCAACAAAACCATAATTCCAACACAAAATCAATAAACTTTGGCAAAATATAAAATAAGGAAAGTTACATAGATATCCTTGAAAAAGTACAAGGAGAACAAGACCAGGTGTTCGGAAAGGCAAGCGTGATCTGCTTCATCGGCGACGCCTGCCTTGTAAGTCTAGTTCATATCCAAGTAATGTCACGTCCTCAGATCAATCAAGAAATCGGATAGTGACTTGCAACATGTTTAAGTTTTCAGGAAATCTGTAATATAAACAAAATACATGTATAATTAAAAAAATATCATCTCACTTGATAAAATATCGCTTTTATACAATAATGTCCTATCTGTACGTTTTTAAAGAAAGAAAACAATATCGAATTAATTTCATCATGACAGAAAGAAAATGTTAGTCTCTAATCTATGTCATTTCTTTTAAAATGTTAGAGTTTGAAGATCCATAATATATACTCCTAATTCGAAAAGTAATTATAAACGCTGTGTTTTATTGACTTTTCATGTTCCAGACAGCGAATAAATGATTTAAAGAATAAACACATGATGTTTCACACATTATATTTTATTTGCATGTGATGGAAATTGTCGATAATTTGAAGTAGTGTATCGTCCTTAGTGCCATCAGTACATAATCGGTTCTACAAGTTATATGCGATAAATTCAGGAAAAAACATGAGAGCCCTGTAAAGAACGAAAGTTGCTAGTTTTGAAATCGGTCAACCTTAAAAAGCCTCGTGATGGGTAATGGCTACTTGTTTCGAAGCCGGTCATTATGTCAAATGTTTATATGCTTATCTACTTTACATTGACATTTAATCTTTTTGATTATATATATTCCACGATCAGGAAAGGAGAAGATAGTGGATTTCCTGGCGGATGACGGAGGTAACATCGAGTCACGTGACATATACGAGACCATTGCCGATTGCAACTTCGTGCTAGATAATTACATGGACGACGAAATAGCGTAAGTGTAGGCAAACTTACCCAAGATCGTTGTTTACATGGATATTTGACTTTGTTTGATAATTCAATATCTATATCATTATAAGCCGTTTATAACGAACTGATTTAAACGCTTTAGTTTATTTTCTTAGCGTTGGACAGACATGTGAATTGAACCTTTGTTTTTAACTTTCTTAGACGGAGCACGAACAAAACAATATCCTTTTTAAGCATGTTTAGTTTGTCAAGTGAGTGAGTGGTTGAGTGAGTGGTTGAGTGAAAAAATGAGTGAGTGAGAAAATGAGTGAGTGAGAAAATGAGTGAGTGAGTGATTGAGTGAATTAATGAGTAAGGGAAGGGGGGAGGGAGGGAGGGGGAGTCAGTGAGTCAATGATAGAGCAAGCGAGTGTTAGCGGAATGGTTTAAGCAGGTTTTTGGACTATGTAGGGTAATGTTTGATTAGGCTACATCTTGGCATTTTAGTAATTGTCATATTTTCTTTTACAGCCCTTTACCAGGAGATGAAATTGTCCAGAGAGCACTTAGGTGTATACCAAAGGATCTTAAATACGATCTAGGTGGGTTCAACGGTGAGCATTTTGCGACATCGTGTAGATATGATGTTGCCATCTCTCACCATCAGGTGGCAACCACTAAAGCACACCCAAAGAGGTTTGTGCAGGGTGTGGGCCCTTTATACATTTTCAAACAATTGCTGATTAGAAACTTATTACCAAGATGGATATATAAGTGAAGAAGTTATAACAACAGTGCGAATAGAGAAATTTGTAAAATGTTCGAGGTGTCGTCCATTCATCAAGACAAAAATAAAGAATCAATTCGTTTAACAAAATATGAAGCTTAACAGTTACTAGGGATCCATGGTCATGTTTGGCTGTTCCAAATATAATGCATATAACTCTGTGTTAAAAGACGCGAACAAAATGTCATTTTGTTCATAAATTTAAGCGTCGTACTAAAAACATCCGTCTTGAATTTTTTTGTGTGGTGAGACTGTGTACTCAGGTGAATGAAGAGATAAAAAAGTAAATAAAAAACAGGAGATAAATCAACAAACGTTGTTGCATTATTTACAAGCAAGCAATGTGTGACAAAAACCATTTGAGAAACGAGGTGTCTGTGCCAACTATAAATCAGTAAAAACTGCCTCTGTCTTGATTGAGCTTTATTGTTCCTTACATCCCGTTCATGTTTTATCATTTAACAAAATATCTTACTGTATTTGGTAGATAAATTGATGACAAGATACTTTATACATTACAATAAGCTTAATTTTCCATCCTGTTTAAACCGTTTCCCTTTAGCTATTTATATACAGTTTTGTGTACCACTTCGGACACTTGTGGTTATCCCGACTACATCTAGTTGGATTAACATATTTTTTTGTAAAATATAACAAAAGAGTATTTTTATATATATATATGATTAATTGAATAAAGGGATTTAGGATCTTGAATTTAAAAAAAATCGATCGTTTAATTGTTCTTATATTCAGTGAGTGTGAAACTACATGTAAACTGGAGGTGAGCTGCCGAATAGAATATTCTGTAAAGCAGAGCTTTAGATAAAGTGTTTTATGACCATTTACAACAACGATGTTACTGCCTTATCATCTGTTAATTTGATTTTACAATAAGTGTTGTATTCTATAAGATTCATCAGTTTGAAATATGTAATATCAACGTTTTACTTTCTACACAAACAATGTAAGTATCAAACGTGTAATACGGACATTGTTTGTGTAGAAAGTAAAGCTTTGATATATAATACGTATTTGAGATTGAACGTGATCTCAATAATCAGAGGAAATATGGTCTTGTCTATGCGCGCCATTTTATGTAACATTATAGATGTTGTCTGCTGTTATTGTGGGACTGTTTAAGTTAGAGAGTATCTTTCATTTTTATTCGTTTGAATTTTAACTTATACTCATTAGATAGATGATTTGGAGAAAAATAAAGATAAGGACAATAATAGAACATTTTAAAATGTAATAGTTCAATTGTTAATACTAGATTTGTAATAAGATAAATGTATGACAGGGCGAACTTTGATAGAAAGAGTTGTAACAGCTTTATGACGAAATGTAAATAAAGACAAATAACCTGTCTTATTATGTCATGGAACCAAGATAAATAGTTAATCAAATGTATGGGAATGGTCACAAATTGAAATCGTAGAAACTCTATTTCGTGATTTGATAATCCGTATACCATCTCCTTTCTTCGTTGGTAGTTAGTTTAGGTTATAGGATACTGTTGGAAAAGGTAAAACAAAAGTATCTTATGTGCTTGTGTGAGTTCCAGGTCCGTGCAGGCCACGATAAACCATAATCTGATATCCAGAATAAAACTATACAGTTAAATCGTTGTTTAATTAAACTCGTTATCTTTTTGAACTCGTTTGCGACGCGAGTAGTATCCATGTCCATAAATAAATCAACATCAGTAATGTTTAACAGTATGTGTAAATCATTAGTGATCTATAAGTTGGATCTAGTTCTTTTATTCTAAAGAAGCATATAAGCAATGTGTCAAACGATTTTGGCGAGTAATGTAAATGCAATTGATTTTTATGTTATGTATGTTATACAGTTAGATGGTTTGATTTAAAATGCTGTATATTTGCTGTGTTTTTATTTGAATTGTATGGTTCGACTGAATGCAGAATCAAAATAAACAGATATAATTCAATACATAGTTTGTTGCTGTGTTCAGCAAAGATAAATTTGCCACAGTTACATTATGCCATGTATATTTAGGAAAAAAACCGAAAGTAAACAGTAGGGTTGTTTAACTGTTCACCGACATTGCCGCTCTGTGACTTGGACGTGTATCTACTAAATATAGCTATTTAGGACTTGAGGATCAATATTAGCGTTTACACAGCAGCAGCAACACCAGACTCGTCTGATCCTGCACTACGGCGACTCCAGGGGAAGGAACATCAAATACAGGCATGGCTACTTGTCAAGATTATCGGAATAGGTATCCCTACATAAGACTGCACTGTAAGTTTTTATTTCTCAGAACCGGGTATGGCTGTCGACATCACTTGATTACTGTCACAGTCCCATGAAAACATTAATCGATCGTGTATACGCCACTATTGGTAGTTGCTGGTGAGTGTCGATAACTCATTGTTTAGGATGACACGGCTCAAAGTAAACAAAAAACGACTGAACATTCATACATTCTGTATTGGTAGTCACACCATCTGTCGATTTGGGTTATAGAAAATATGGTGCTATCTTTGCGATTATAGTAACATCATTATACATATAAACATATGCGTTATGTACATATGTATTAGTGGGCAGTACGTGCAGCTGATGGGACACTTGTGATATCATTGCTATGTTTTCAATATAACTGCAGTAGTGCTGTATCGGTCCACAGGAGCCGGTTTCACTCTACACATGCAAATCATGATAGCTACTGTAATGCAGTTTCTGTAGGCAGGGCCTAGCATAATACAGGCATCTGAATTTAACTACAGACTTTCTTCTGTAATATCATTGGTTTCGCATAACCACTTGTGAGTTCTAAATGGACGATATTTTGACAAGTCAGCTTAACATTCAGCAACTATTATATTATATTAAAAGGATATCTTCATTCGTTTTAAAGAATTTTCAATTTTCACCATATACATTTCTGTTTCAAATGAAGATATTTCTCGTTTGTATATAAATATCTGTAATAGTATGCAACCCCTCTTTGTATATTAAATGTTTAATTAGCTTGCCAAACATTTTTTTTTCTAGCATTGAAACTTTGAACAACTATAATTCTGTATAATGCATCATCACAAAATGTTTTTTTTTATTAAATATTCCTTTTGAAAAGGAACACAACAAAAATTGGGCCAGAGTGACAATGCTAATAATACGTTATATCAAAGTTTTATTTTATACATAATTAATGTACGCATTAAACGTGTCGCAACGTCTGGTCCCTTTGTCAAGCTATGACTGAGTGACCGATTTGTATTGTTCACCTGTATAACGATGTGACGAAATTGTATGTTTATATGTCACTCTACCAGGGACGTGTAGCCTACCGATAGAGAGTACATACACACTATCGAATAAATAACTGGTAAGGGGTAGATCCAGTCCACTCTCCCATTAGGTCAGTATCGGGTCACACGCCATTAGGTCAGTACTCACAACCCCTCCCTTATCACTCACAACCAACCCCCTACCACACACAACCAACACCCTATCACACACAACCAACCTCCTATCACTCACAACAAACCTCCTATCACTCACAACCCGTCCCTTATCACTCACAACCAATCCGCTATCACACAACACCAAATCCGTATCACTCACAACCAATCCCCTATCAAACACAACCCGCCCCCAATCACACACAACCCGTCCCCTATTACTCACAATCAACACCCTATCATTCACAACGAACCCCCCATTACACACAAACAACCCCCTTTCACTCACAACCAACCTCCTATCACAAACAACCCGCCCCTATCACTCACAACCAACCTCCTATCACTCACAACCCGTCCCCTATCACTCACAGCCAACCCCCTATCACTCACAACAAACCCCCTATCACACACAACCAACCCCCTATCACTCACAACCAATCCCCTATCGAACACAACACGCCCCAATCACACACAACCCGTCCCCTATTACTCACAACCAACCCCCCATCACTCACAACCAACCCCCTATCACACACAACCAACCCCCTATCACTGACAACCAATCTCCTATCAAACACAATCCGCCCCTAATCAAACACAACCCGTCGCCTATTACTCACATCCCACCCCCTATCACTCACAACCTACATGTATATTAGGATGTTCTAGGTATTCCGAAAGCCTAAACAAACCCTATTTCTTTTGTAATCTTGAATATATACGAAAAATTTCATGGAACCTATTAGTTCTCAGAATTGCATGCTATCCAAATCCAAATTTAGAACTTAATAGCAGTGCGACTCAAACAATTTATATTTAGGACTTCCGTAAAATGTTGTATAGACGTTTACTGAAGTGAGACAATAAAAAAAACACAGGTAAAATGTGTGAAATCTTGATTCTTTACAGTATATGCGCTAGTCCTATAGATGTTTATTGGAAACACACACACAACGACGTGTTAATATACGTAACTGATTTAGAAGTAGACTCTGCAAATTAATCGTATTGAGGTAACAAATTACTGTGATATTTTTTTGTACATACAACACGTAAGTTCTAACCATCAAGTTAACCACCTCTTAAATAGTGCACTGCTAGAAAACAAGTTATTATTTTTAAAAATTTTGAAGGATTCATCTCCCGGCTATTTTCACAGGCATAGTCTATTACCAATTTCAAAATTACCGATACAAACAGTAGTTTGTAAAGTCAAATAGAAAAAAAGTATATCATACCTTACAGCTAATCCCTCGGTGCTACTAGTAACTTCTGGTGTGGAATGATTTCCTGGTCTAACACGGACAGTTTCTTGGTACCTATTTGTATTTCGGTATCGGGGATTTGGTGTTTGTAGTTTCGAATCTAATCACGGCCCCGAATTCAATCATGACAACCAAAACAGTCCAACAGTTAAATGGCCGCCTTTAATGACATGTACCCGGATCATAACAATGAACGATAACTCCATACACACATACACACATGTAATGCAACTGGATATGGAAGTAAGAGTTTCTTTCATTGGTACATTAAACCTGTTGAATACTACAGTGTTGTCTTATAACTGCATGTTATCCAAATTAAGAATTAACAGCAGTATGACTCATACATGTTAATTATAGGACTTCTGTAAAACTATCGTATGGGCATTAACTGAAGTGAGACAAAGAAAACACAGGTAAAATTTGTTTTCATTTCATTAATAATTACCATAACTTTAGTATGCATAAACAACATCTACACCCATCTTTGTAACCCTAAAACAAAACCTCAAACCCCTTTAATGGAGCCTAAAGGCAGCAGGGATGATGTGGCAAGGGGAGGAATACAGTGTGGGACTCTATACAGTTATGGTAAGTATTACATCATGAAAATCGGTTTTACTTCAAAAAAACTCAACTTCATTTCAGTACTAATAACCATAACTTTAGTATGCGAATTCGTCTTACCGTAGTGGAGGCTTCGAATCCAGGCAGACCAGGCTGACGGAACAAACTCGAGACATGCTCAAGGTAGGAAATAGGTTCAAGGAACCCCCCTAATAATATTAAGCTCCGAAAGTAATTAAAAAATGGAAGACCTCCCTGTGAAACGAGCAGGTGTACCACCGTGGTACCTGATAGCATACTATTTAAAAATCACTGAATAAGTGTGGTGAAACAGCCACAGACTGTGCAACCACCACCGGTCCAAGGAATACAATCCGTCGGAAGGGGGAAACCAAGGACCGGAGATAAAAATCCGTGAAGGTAGTCTGTCCGCGCCAAAACGCCGCGGACATGACCTCCTGAAAGGAGGACCCATTGAGAAGGGCCCATGACGCAGCAAGGGCCCTGATCTCATACGCTCTCAGACCACCGTATACAACGCCCAATCCTGATCATCTGAGTTGTCGTAACCGTACTTGATGACATGACAGATCCATTTAGACACTGACAGAGAGGAGATATCCTGCTGACCCTGCTTATTGGGCAAGAACAGACGAGATCGAGGACCCCCCTCCCCCTGGTTTTATCAAGGTAAAACCTAAGCGCCTGAGACTGGGGCTGGCCACCTTGACCAAAAGGCGAAGGTGGACCGCCACTCCCTCCAGGTGGAAACCCGGACATGTACGAGCTAAGCCCGTAACTGCCAGAATGCTGCCGCAACCCAAAAACCATCCGCAGGCTTGTTCGACAGGATCCAGCATATGAAAGGAATCTTGCAACTTTCCTCTGTTGCAAGTTAGCTAGCTCCAAAAGAGCTAGGATCGAAAAAAGACTGCAAGCAAGAAAACCTGGCGACATGATGAGAATGGCACGAGGAGATTTTCTGCACTACGCCATATATATAGGTAAATTATATTTAAATTGTATGTTAAACTTTCTTCAATCATGTTCAGAAAGTAAACGTTCTTTCGCATGATCACCTTTAAACCTACTAATGGATCGTTTGATGTTCCTTTTCAGTTTTGTAACTCGAAATATGAAACTAGTTCTGCATGTGTGACGTGTTGATATTGTATTATACGAAAACTGTTGCTATGTACGATCATCAAGTGTTTCCACGGCTACAGTAATTGNAGCGCGCTAGCGCATTCTGATTTGTTTGCTTGCAAAGCTGTGTCATTCAAATAGATCATAAANGATGTGGCTATATTTTGGTATATTTGGTATCGAATTTGAACACACCAAAATTTCGCGATGCCAAAATATCTCGTCATAACATTCAGATAACGACAGCCTGTCTCTCAAATAATTTATTATGCATCTATCCCTAACTTCCATGGGCTATATTTAAGTCCCCCAAACAAAGTGGGGGACTTATTGGTTTTACTCCGTTTCTTATAATTATTGTTGTGTCCCCCAAAGGAAGTTTGAGGGACATATTGTATTTGGTCCGTTTCTTCTTCTCATTATTATTATGTCCCCAAACGAAGTTTGAGGGACATATTGTTTTTGGTCCGTTTCATATTATTATTATTATTTTTATCATTATTACGTCCCCCAAACGAAGTTCGAGGGACATATTGTTTTTGGTCCGTTTCTTCTTCCTTTTATTATTATTACAAGCTAACCGATAATAAGTATTTATATATTAGGCCTACTCAGAGAACTAAATAACAATCGGGAATCGCAACTCCCGCTTTTGTTATCTAAGCGGAAATATATCGAGCGCGAAATATAGTGGTGCGCCTACGCACTTAGCCGAGATTGTTATAATATAGATCTTTGGCCTACTGTATCTAAAATGCCACCGTGTCTATCCCACGGGCTCATTGAAGATTTAAAAAAGAAATCTGAGTGGTAATACATTACACACTGTAGCTGGCACTGGGTTCTAATACTTTTTATAGTGCAACTGATAATGTTCTAAACTGCAGGAAATCCGCGTTTTTAAATATAGAGAAAATCTGGGATTATCAGTCTATAGTTTACGAAAAACTACGGCAATGCTGATTTGTTTATTTATTTATTTAACGGGTTTTACGTCCGCTATTACGGCCTTTCAGTTGACGAATGCGGCAATGCGAGAACTACATGTAGGCCTATATATGTTATAATCTGAAAATGACGTCACTTCCCGTCGTTATCATTTAACACTGATTGCAGTAGTGTATAATTTCACTATACAGACGCCCGGAGGCACACAATGTACAAGATCGGTAATAAAAACCAATGTTTTCTCAGTCAAAATATTGATCAGGCTCCAGAAGATAAGCCCAACAAATGATGCAAAGCCTCGTTCTGTACGGCCAAATCTTACCCGATGGATAATTTCTCACCCATGCGTTTTCTAGACAAGGCTATCTCAACCCGAGGGTAAAACTTTCAAAGTTTGTAAATTGCATCGTCGAATACCCACGGTCGATTGCACAACGTTGTAGCACGAGGCTTTTCCTTATTAGTATTAGCAGGGACGTATAATGAGTAAACGTCCCTGGTATTAGTACTGCCAGGGTCCTGGTACTGTACTGAAAATCCCTGTTCATGGAACATACCCAGGTTAGATTCTATTAATCTCTCAAACGTGTTTTTTTCGTATTGCTGAAGTGTTCATTGTATTTAATTTTGTTTGAGTGAAAAACATTTTGGAAATTAAATCAGGATTTATGATGCCGTTTTCTGGTTTGCCAATGACTAGGTTAGTAGGGCCTATCTAATGGCGGCAACGCTGAGATGCATGCTTTGATTTCGGAACTTAGGATTTATGTTTGCAAGGAAAACAATATGACATGCATAACGTATATTGATTCTGGGTTTTTTTCTTCTGTTCAGCGAGAACCTGTCATCGTTGAGTAAAGTTGAAAACACAGACGACGAAAGAAGACCAGGGACGGTTGAGAGACATATGTAGTCGGCATTCAAAATTGTGTTGGAAAGGTAAACACAGTAATCAATATTCACTGATGTTTTATGGGCCTTTTTCAATCATGAATTGATAAAAACTATTATTCCCATATTGCTGAATTTTTGTAATCTGAGCAATTCTAGTAGTCCTTTCCAAACTCAAAGCACAGTACTTGAAAAAGACAGTATAGTATGGGGCGCCGTGTTACTATTTATTCCCATTTAATGATATCACTTAATGACTAAGTGATATCACTTGGTCCTTTAAGTGACATCACTTAGTCATTAACTGATATCGCTTATTCAATAAGTGATATCGCCTATTTAAAAGATGACTAAGTGATATCACTTCGTCGTTTTAAGTGATATCACTGAAACGATTAAGTGATATCACCTAAACAAATTTTTTATTTAAGAATATCACTTAGAAAAAGTAAGAGGAATCATGTATAGTGTTCTGTTTGTGTGAACACACTCTCATAAGTCAGTGATATCACTTAAACGACTAACTGATATAACTAAAACGAAACGACTAATATAAGTGATATCACTAAATGGGAATAAACAGTAAAACGGCGCCCCATAGTATATCCCCTACACTGTATAGATAGTCTCTAACCCATATTTCATTATACGTTTATCATTGTATTCTTATTCTAACGAACCCATGTGTTCTGGCTATAGGACTCTGGACCATGACTTGCATTGTAGATTGATTACTGTAATAGGCTACACTGTCAATGTAAATGTATATCAACAATTAAAAGCTTATACATGCTTGCAAGTGTTCAAATTAGTTTTATTAAGAATATCCATTGACATAAAATATATGTCGGATGAAAATTATATGAGCAATGTTATCGTTACATCATGATTTATATATATGAACATATGGTAGTGATTTTTGTGTACAATTAAAGAAGTTTGTACTAAAATGAATATATACATTGTAAAGGAAGAATTGTTATCAAATGTAAATCAACTGGTTATTTGTCATGTATGTGAAATTTACTTATAATTGACAAAGTGCTGGCAGTAACATCACACAACTCAAATACCTTTATAAAATGAAGTCAACTTTTCATTTGTCACAGTTATATATATATAATTGATTAACAAGGAGCTGGAAGTAACACCACACTAACACAACTGCAAAGTTGCTTTCAAATGAAAGGAAATGTTCTATTCTCTTTTCTCACATACATTTATGGTACTACTGGTAATATGAACATACCAGTATATATAAGGGTTTTCGACACTAATCACACTTACAGCTTGAAGTGACATGAGAAAAATGTTCTTGATTTTATAACATGTGATGAATAATTTAATAGCGAATCTCCCACCTAGTCACTATGGATAAGTCATTTTTAATGGTTAACATGCAAGTTAAGTTTTCAGAAAATTCACCAATATATATATATATATATAGTGTACATGATTGTTTCAACTAACATTGATTGGCACAAAGTGCGTAGATGTTTGTGTTGATCATAGTTTATTCTTCTATCATAAAGGAATTTTTCAACTATTCTTGAAAAGAAAATAATGCTTTTGCATATTCTGCTGTAATTTTCTCTGCACATTTGGGTACATTTGTTTCACGCAGCAGAATTATTTCCTTAATTTCTGCAATCCTATCCTGTACATTTGTATAATTTGCTTGTAAATAGATCTGAATATTTGGCGTCACTGTGATCCAAGAGGGTGACTTGTATATTTTCTGATGGCAAAGTGATGGCAAGATGGAAAGGTTGTAATAGAAGTTTCACTTTATTTTCAGGTAGAAAATGGGTAGATGAAATATCTATGGACATGCACATGTCATCGACAAATGTAAAAGTTGCTACAGCATCTGCTGTAGTGTACATGGGCTGGACATCGTAAGAGTCCCATACAAGTGGATTTAAATTTTGAACGAGAATAGGGTTATCGAACATGTATGTTGTTGTGAAAATCGTTGCGTTGTTGTCAATAGCTTTACTTCTGTTAATTAGTTCAATACATGGTTATAATATTGCTAACTTGCCATTTGGCATTTTCTTTAAAACAGCTGTGACAAGTGTCTGGAGCTTTTGTAGGGGCATTCCTGTTAGCTGTCTGAACGATTGTTCTCTTGAAAAAGTCAAAATGAATAGGGTACTGATATTTAACAGACTATAACAATGCATGTATGTACTGTAGTGTTATGATGTAATGTTAAGACTAAGTTTGCAATCAACATTTGACAATCAGCAAATTAGAAATATTGTACAGGTTTACATAATTTTTCTGCGACTGTAAGTTATTCCTGGTAAAAGTAGACTTGAATGATTGGAGTTTCATTGTTTTGATTTGACAGAATTTGAATGGAGAAAGCACTAGCCATGCGCGACTTGGTATTATCTTATCAAAAACTATGGAAAGTATTTTTACCAAATATTATATTTTGCAGTTACTTGTTTGAGATGCGTCCAATCGGTAAGATATTGCTTTCAGCAGAGTTTGTCAGTTTGTCACATTGTTTTCAAAAAAAAGTTTATTTTGGGGGTAATGGCGGTTGGGGGAGGGGGGCATAACATTGGCAGAAATGTACTGCTTTTACATTTTATCTTTCAGTTTTGATTGATTAGGAATTTATGCAAGGCTGATATTTCTGTCCATAATGTTTTGTAATGTAAATCTCCATTTCCTTTTTTTGTGTCTGAGGGCGGAGCTACAATTTGTTGAAAATGATATCTCCGGCGACCATTTCCTGCTGCCTTGACAATTGGTGAGTCCAAGAATGGTGTTAAGATTTTGTTGTTTGTGTTGAATTCTACAATGAGGCTGCTCATTAACGTAATAGTGTTGTTCAATTGATATTGCATATCAACATAGCTGTCTTGCTGGCATAATTTAAGTGTTTTCCCCTGTTTATGTCTGGTACACCGGTTTCGTTTGTTTGACCCGGGATATATTCAGATCATTGTTGATGAACATTCCAAGTCCATTCTCGTCCCAGGCTGTCAGTTATTATTAAGTGCATTTCTGAAAGACAAGAACAATATCATGTTTTCTAAAGAGGTATTTGTAGAATTTTGCTAGCTGGTATCCCATGTCGGAAAATGTACATCCCTACATCTTCATATAGTTCACTTGGGTGAAGTTTTTAAGTGATATTTCTATTTAAGTCAGCGTAAATCACTTGCTTTGTTTGCTCGTTTTCGTAATTTATCCAGAAATACGTCTGTGGCTGGTGAGAAACCGAGATATATCTATTGGATCTCAGTAAAAATGGCAACAAATGCAGGTATATGCTACTTGTATCTGGTTTGTTCTGCAATAAGTCAAGTTAGAGTCTAAGTTCATTTGTTGGGCATGGCCCCTTGTGTTCATTGCATGATAAATATGGTAAGTAGACAAATTCTTAATTATATTGATAATTACTCTTTTCTTCTGGTATTTTACTATCCGATGTCTTCCTCGGAGGTATCGCCCTAATATTTCTTTGCCCTAAGTTGATTTATACATTTTATGAGTTTGTGTTTAAAGATATAATAAATAAACACATTTATAACATGAATTAGTATTTGCAGTAAAATCGTTTTCTGTTATGTTTGTCAAATAATATTTTTGATTAGGTTCATGCATAACAATACTAGTATTGCAATCGTTAAATGAGGTGAAATGAGTGATTGGCAGTAACCACTGCACAATAACTTCATTTTCTACATTGTTATCAGTAAAACATGGTATGCTATGAGTTTCTTTAAATTTTAGCCAGGTTTCAAATGAAGTACACAATATACTAGCAGAAGTTTTTGATTAAAAGTAGAAAGTTCTTCTTTTGGATGTTCACTAATTTAGCAGCAACCACTGCATCAATGTAGAATATTGCAGGTCCTAGGTTTATTACTGATCACCTCCTTCACACATTCTCTGTTTTACAAACCGAACCCCAAAATACATGCTGTATTGACTTGTACAGGTAAAACAAAATGAAAATGTATTTGATATCCCAGAATATGCATAGAGAAAAGGTTATGTGTTGGTGACTGGAAGACATGTATTGCATAATCAAGTGATATGCTACTGCAGGGTTTGTAGAGTCAAGTGTATATCAGTTGACTAACAAAGAATGTTGTGTTTGTATTTTTGGGTTGAGTGCTTTAATTCAGCAGCAACCACTGCATGAATCGGATATAGTTGATAAGTTGATAGAAAATACATAGCAAATATGGAAGTTGTAGCTTGAATTATTTAGAAGATCAATGGAAATATTATTGTGAATTAGTTGTAACACCACACCATTTTTAATGAGAGGTATTGACTGTAGATGCTGTAGCTGTTGACAGATTCTTTGGTTGGTATTGAAGTGATTGACATGTGTCGACGGTAGATGCTGTAGCTGTTGACAGATTCCTTGGTTGGTATTGAATTGATTGACGACATGTGTCGACGGTAGATACTGTAGCTGTTGACAGATTCCTTGGTTGGTATGAAGTGTTTGACATGTGTCGACGGTAGATGCTGTAGCTGTTGACAGATTCATTGGTTGGTATTGAAGTTATTGACATGGGTCGACGGTAGATGCTGTAGCTGTTGACTGATTCCTTGGTTGGTATTGAATTGATTGACATGTGTCGACGGTAGATGCCGTAGCTGTTGACAGATTCCTTGGTTGGGATTGAAGTTATTGACATGTGTCGACGGTAGATGTTGTAGCTGTTGCCAGACTTCTTATTTGGTATTGAAGTGATTGACATGGGTCGACGGTAGATGCTGTAGCTGTTGAAAGATTCCTGGGCTGGTATTGAAGTGATTGATATGTGTCGACGGTAGATGCTGTAGCTGGTGACAGATTCCTTGGTTGGTATTGAAGGGATTGACATGTGTCGACGGTAGATGCTGAAGCTGTTGACAGATTCCTTGGTTGGTATGAAGTGTTTGACATGTGTCGACGGTAGATGCTATAGCTGTTGACAGATTCCTTGGTTGGTGTTGAATTGATTGACGACATGTGTCGACGGTAGATGCTGTAGGTGTTGACAGATTCCTTGGTTGGTATTGTAGTGATTGACATGTGTCGACGGTAGATGAAGTTATTGACATGTGTCGACGGTAGATGCTATAGCTGTTGACAGATTCCTTGGTTGGTATTGAAGTTATTGACATGTGTCGACGGTAGATGTTGTAGCTGTTGACAGACTTCTTATTTGGTATTGAAGTGATTGACATGTGTCGACGGTAGATGCTGTAGCTGTAGATGTTGTAGCTGTTGACAGACTTCTTATTTGGTATTGAAGTGATTGACATGTGTCGACGGTAGATGAAGTTATTGACATGTGTCGACGGTAGATGCTGTAGCTGTTGACAGATACCTTGGTTGGAATTGAAGTGATTGACATGTGTCGACGGTAGATGCTGTAGCTGTTGACAGATTCCTTGGTTGGTATTGAAGTTATTGACATGTGTCGACGGTAGATGCTGTAGCTGTTGACATACTTCTTATTTGGTATTGAAGTGATTGACATGTGTCGACGGTAAATGCTGTAGCTGTTGACAGATTCCTTTGTTGGTATTGAAGTGATTGACATGTGTCGACGGTAGATGCTGTAGCTGTTGACAGATATCCTTGGCTGGTATTGGAAGTCCTTTGTTGATATGAAATTTAGTAAAGTTGTTGACAGTAAATACATAGCAAATTTGAAAAATACATCCAATGATTGTTAATTAATCCGTAGTTACTGTACGCCACGCAGATCCTGAAGCTGTTGGCAGATGTCCTTGCTGGTGTTGAAGTGATTAACGTATTGACGGTACAATGTAGATGCTGAAGCTAATGATAGATGTCCTTGGCTGGTGTTAAAGTGATTGACATGTTTTGAAGGTAGATGATGAAGCTGTTGACGGATGTCCTTCGGTGGTATTGAAGTCATTGACATTTGTCAACGGTAGATGCTGAAGCTGTTGACAGATGTCTTGATCTGGTATTGTTGATTGACATGTGTCAAAGAAAGATGCTAAAGGAATTGATAGATGTCCTGGGATAATATTGAAGCCCTTGACGTGTGTCTCTGGTAGATGCTTCAAGTGATTGACATCTGTCGACTGTAAATGCTGGAGCTGTTTACAGATATCCTGGGTTGGTATTTAAGTCAATGACATGTGCCCATGAAAAATGCTGGAGCTGTTGACAGATGTCCTTGGCTGGTATGGAAGACCTTTTTTGATATGAAGTTAAGTTAATGTATTGACAGGAAATACATAGTAAATTTGAAACATTCAGATGAATCGGTAGTAACACCACACAATTTTTGATTACAGGTATCCATTGTAGATGCTGAAGCTGTTGACAGATGTCCTGGGCTGGTATTGAAGTCATTGACATGTGCCCATGGTAAATACTTGGACTGTTGACAGAAGTCCTTAGCTGGTATTGGAGTCCTGTTGATATTATTATTATTGTTATTACAGGTAATTATTTTAGATGCTGAAGCTGTTGAAATATGTCCTTGGTTGGTAATTATGTCATCGACATACATCTTTATTTTATGCTGAAGCTGTTGAGAGATGTCTTAGGCTGCTATTGAAGTAATTGACGTGCGTTGACGGTAAATGCTAAGCTGTTGACAGACATCCTGGGCTGGAAGTGTTGTGTTTAACATGTATCGACGGTAGTACTGAAGCTGACTGTTGAGAGATGCCTGGGTTGGTATTGAAATCATTGGCATGTGTCAGCTCTAGTAGCTGAAGCTGTTGACAGATGACCTTGGCTGGTATTGAAGTCATTGATATGTGCCCATGGTAAATACTTGAAGTCATCGACATATGTCTACATTAGATGATGAAGCTGTTGACCGATGTCCTGGGCTGGTATTGTAGTTATTGACGTGTGTTTACGGTAAATGATAAAGCTGTTGACAGGTGTTCAGGGTTGGTATTATAGTGATTGACATGTGTTGACGGTAGATGCTGAAGCTGTTGACAGGTGTCCTGTGTTGGTATTATAGTGATTGACATGGATCAAAGGTAGATGTCTTGGAGTCCTGTCGTAGATAGGAAGTTTAGTTAAGGTGTTGACTGGAAAGTTATAGTAAATATGAAAGTTGCAGAAGAATGGTTGTTTTTTGGAGTTGGTAGTAACACCACACAACTGTTAATGACAGGTATCCATTTTAGATGCTGGTGCTGCTAAAATATGTCCTTTGCTGGTATTGAAGTCATTGACACGTGTTTTGCTGAAGCTGTTTGGCAGGTATTTTTGTTTGATTCGTGTCATAGATATGAAGTGTAATTTATGTATTGACCGGAAATAAATGGTAATATAGAAAATTGTAGATGAGGGATTTCTTGGTAAATGATGGAAATGTTAATGTATTTCTGATGAAGCGGAATCGGTAGTAACACTACACAGAATTGGAACAGATTCAAATATGGTTGGAAAATTACACTTTCTGGTGATCTCCTGATAATGGCAGAGTAGTGGAATTCGCAGTGCATTTCTGCTTCGGCTATATTTTGTCAAATGGCCAGTAAACTAGGTGTTGTCAAGATCAGATAATCTGTGTTCAAAAGCCAAATGCAGTGGTACCTCTTCATTTGGTGAAAAGACGAGTATGCCTTCTGTGTTTTTGAAACTTGAGTACACAAATATTGCTCTTTTGAGACCTTTGGCAAGAGCTTGTAGGTGAAATTCTCCTCCCCATGCTCCATCAAGGGTCGTTGATTGCACAATTTGGTCGAAAGTTTCTTCCGCTACAGAGTAAGTGTTGAAGATGTGTTCAAATTGAGTCTTGTGCTTGATGAGAGTATCTGCACCAGTTTCTGAGCCTTATCATTGAACTTGTGTTGCCAGTTAGACCGATTGATATACTGTTCCACATACAGTTTTCTTGTCAAGGTGTGTATAGAATTTCGTGATGTTGTAGAAATACTGGATGAATGTTCTGTTGAATATTTGTTGCAGGAATAGAAAACTTGGTGTCAAGTTTGCAGAGTCTGATAGGTTCCATATTCTGTAATACATATTTCATTTATTTTCTTTCAGTTGTTCCTGGATGCTCTTCGGATATTGGTCACTCTCAGAAGAAACCTTCTTTGGAAGTGTTGGACAATCATCTAGAAAAGGCCGTTTTTGTTTCCTTCATCACTGAAGATGTAGATGGCATTAGAATTGGATGTGCAGGCATCCTTTTTTAGAACGTCTTCTTTGTTCATCCATACAAGCAAATCACGATATCTTGGATCAAGAACTATTGCCTTCTCGCTCAACGCAGTTAGATGCAAGTTTTTTTTACTCGAATCAAAGCAGCATATGCCTGTCCACTTGCAAAGAAAGATGGACCAAGATGAACAGTCGCTGTTTCCAACGTCATGCCTTGGACTTTATGAACTGTTAATGCCCATCCAAGCAGTAAACGGATTGTTCTCTTATGACTCCTGCAGTACTGTTCTTGTAAGCCAGATTTCGCTTCATCCTGGTTATTAATGTTGTTTTTTGTAATGTTTGATGTTGTATTTGGATGAAGCTATCGCTGATATCCTTTACAAATGCCAGAGTTCCATTTACCCATCCACTAGCAACATTGATGTTTTTTTCAAAGTAGGACCTGTACTCCAATTTTGGGTGTAATGACATCTGGTAGTCGTTCTCGGTGATAACGAACGATGCATGTCCGTTGCCGTCAGTGTCATTGGCATGAAATGAGAACTCTTCTCAAATGTGTTGCTGCAAGAAGAATGCATTCCATTGATCCCTTTCTTTTCGTAGAGAGACAATGATTGGAGTTGGCAGATTAATGAATTAAGTATCTGGGACAAGGCGCTGTTGCAGCATCTGCTTATGGACTGTTGTTAGTTCAACAAGCCCGATGCTGTTTAGCATTTCTAGGTAGTTGTCATCTTTCTGCCTCTTCACTTCTTTCAGCAGCAATATCTTGAACTGCTTTCCTCTTAATGGCTTTTTTAAATTCTGGGACGCTTCAATAAGTCAACACAGATTGTCCAGTTTCTGAAGTACTGCTTTTTCCATCCAGGGGAATTCATCGACAATGAGGATCTCAGCATTGTGCACCAAAGCATACTCTGATGTTCGCTTTTCTAGATAGAAGTTGCACTCAATGTTCATTTTAAGGAAATTGTGGATTGTTTCTCCCTTGTTGAGGAAACAGCTTACCATCTACTATTAGAAAGTCAAATACCCTCGCCAAGTTCAAGAGGGACATCAAAACTCACCTCTTCACGTCTGCATTTTAGAATCCTTGCAAAGACGTCATGTAAATACTACCCTTTTATTTGTTCAATTATGTGCACATTGCTTGCTTAAATGTATAAAAGTGATTGTAAGCCTTTGTTTTTTGTTTTCACAATTACAAACATTACTATTATCCATATGTTGTAAAGCGCTTTACAGTAATCTTACAAATTATATACGGCGCTATATAAATGTTGTATATTATATTTATATTAAAAAGCAGCTACTCCTGTTGTTGCCAGTTTATGAATGTGGATTTTGTGTGCACATGCCTCTACAATAGCATTCAGAAGAAATGATTTTCCACTTTCTGCTGGACCAACAATGCATGCAAGATTTGTTTTTCAAGATTTTTCTGTTAGCCAATTATAGGCTTAACGCTGACTTGAAGAGAATTTTGCTACCATTGCATCCAGATTTCTACATTTAGCCTGTATCTAAGATCACATTCATCAGGTTGAATTGCATCATCGGTTACCTTTTTCATTGACTCAAGTTCAGTGTTTGGACGCTCTTTACCATTACCACAGTGAGAAACACATCAACTTTCTCGGAGTCAATCCATCTGCAGTCAACTAATCTTTGTGCTATGTCTTTTATTTTGTCCAATTTGAATCCTTTGTTTTCTGCAAAAGTGGAGTACCTGCATTGAGTTCTCAGTTTTTTCAAGCATACCTCTGGTGGCACGTTCTTCTGTGTAAGTTTTTGATTTGTTTTCTTTTGAAATAATGGTTTATGCACTGTTTTGTCAGAGGAATGTTCAAAATCAAATTTTGTTCGTAAAAGTTGTCTTGGTCATCACCGAATGGAACTATGTATCGGTACCGAGGGATGGCTTCTTTTCCTGGCTTTCGTTTCACCATGTTTCGTCCTTTAGCATCACATGTTTTGGATTTCTTTGGGTGGGGTTCTTCTTCTTCTGTTGCAGACTCGTTGTCTTGCTTGTTGCAGCCATTAACATATCGAAATTGACGGCCAAAGTCAGTGTAAGGGACATCTTTCAGAATTCCAGGCCTGTTAAGTCATTTCTTGAAAAGATTGTTATAATATATATCCTTTGAACGTTTGACAGGTGGGAGATGGAATACTCTCTTGAGATAAGCTGTTTTCGGTTAAAATTCTGTTGGCATGAAGGTGACATCTCGACTACCTCTGGACAATTGGCACCCCATTAAGATGTTATCCACTTCCAGTCTACCTGCAATTTTGTTGCGTAGACACTTTCAGGGTTTGATGTGTTTTCTGGAAGATGCAAGTAAAAAGTGGGCTTTGCCTTTGCAATGTTTTTTGAAAGGTATAATTCCCATTCATCTTGGCTTACCTTTTGCTAATTAAGGTGACCTTGCCAAAGTGTCAGCATCTTCAGGTTGTATGGCACTGTTCGCGAGTCCTTTTCTTGACGTCTTTGATATATAGTTCGAATGCCACTGTTGTCCAAGCTTGTTTCGTTTTAAACCTTAAATGGAAAACCATATTTACAATGGTCCAGCAATTTTCCATCATGGCTTTTGAAACAGCAATTAGCACAGCATGTTGCATATTGTTAAAATTGTCGGACAAGATGACGAAAATGTTCCATGTCTGACATATTTTCAGGATCTTCTGTTAAAGGCATTTCTGCTGGTACTGCATCATGTGGAATATTCTCACACCACACTACCATATGAATATAGACTGCTCCCCGTTTCTGAAATTCTGCTCTATACCAATAATCGTTCACTTTGGCAATAGGGTCACCTTTGTTTTTCATGACATGTGTTTTGAAAAGCTCAAATCTTTTCTGGAATGCAATAATTGCTGGTACAGAGTCGTTGATACAAGACTGTCGCTGAACATTGGGAGATGTAGCATTTTTATCTGTACAGATATGAACTTGTAGTTTTGGCCATCCGTCGTTTTGTGTCAGTGTGATAAACAATGATAGAAAACCCAACTCCTTGATTATAGCGAAAAGGTCAAGTAGTCGACTTGTACAGTAATGTTTTGATCCTGGAATAGTGTTTGGGACGGATGATCCCTAAATCTGTCTAACAGCTTCAACATCAAGGTTTTCTGATGCGTTTCTAACAACTACGTTCCTGACTGTGACCATAGAAGCTTCTGTAAATTCCGTTGTGTTCTTTCAGCCATAGAAGTGCTGATGTGATGCGCAATTGTGATTGCTCCTGTGGCATGTTTTGATTGAAGTCGCTGAAGGATAAAAGCCGTGCATTCCATAATAATGTTTCTCCAGCTTTGTGAGAACAGTTGTTTCTCCAGTGCGATGTTCCCGTTGATGTTGCATTGGGTTTGCTTGTGTCAGTTAAGTTGAAAAAAGTTCACATATCGCTACCATCCCTTTTTCATAGTTGTTCCTGAGATTCAAAATTTCTTGGGGCCGTTCCATGATACCAGTTTCTGGATTGCCACACGGAAATGGATTTTATTATCTATTTTTGCAAATGAGGCAACTATACCATGTTTGTCTATTAGAGATATGGGACATTTCTCCAATATTTGTATATAGTGTTAGTATTGGTGCTTCTTATATTTCAGCCCTAACCTTTGGATCTAAAGTGAACTTATATCCTGCAGATATATTGTACAAATCCATACAGTAGCATACCACATGAAAAACAAATTGCATCAAAGATAGGTGTTTGTGAATAAGTTGAAGATATATGAACATGTCTTTGCAAATCTTAAATATTTTCATTTATTTTTGTTTCTTTTGGTTTTGGGAGAGTGTTCTTTACTTTTGTAAGTTTAGATCTTACTGATTTGCCTTTAATTTGCTATTTGGGTAGACAGAAAGCCACTTTTGTAACCAAATATTTTGAACTGTTTGTTTTATTCCTAGTTTTTGTAGATTAGCTTGTTCTGTCCTAGCTTCAATGTGAAGTTTTATTAGATTTTCTGTCATATCATCTGTCCAGACATTATCTGTAGATGTACGTCTGTCCATAGTGATGCATTGGCATTAGGCTTTAGAGAAAAGCCAGGAGAACATTTGTTCAATGACATATTTATTAATGTTATAAAGGAAGATTTACATAATTTATTGACAGATTATCATGAGATATGATTTGAAGATGACTGCTGGCCTTGTGACTTCCTTTAAAAAAATAAATGTACATGGACATAGCAGATAAGTAATGTAGGAATTTACGTTAGTATACCAGTAATAGGAATGTGTGTTATAGGGCCATAACAACATATATTACTTATAATTACATTTTGATTGTAGTTATTCGTTTATTTGGCTATATTCAGTCTCCTATCATCATTCTCGTGAAGTTCTTGGAACAGCAAAGTCAGTGTTAAAACAATCAGGTCGATGACGTTATAATCATATTGATGACATCACAATGAAGGTCACATGACTAAATGTTGTTATAGTCTGATAACACAAATGGATGCTGTATACAATACGGTATGCTGAGCAAATGTTAAAACTTTAAACAATGAACTGTTTTTGTGATGTTGTTATAGTCGAAATGACAGCAAGATGAATGACTGGAAAATCCTATGAAACCTAGGGTTTCATTCTGGATTTGCCAGTCATACTTCTTGCTGTCATATCGACTATAACAACATAATAGTTCATTAGTTATATTTACATTAATCAAAAACAAATTGTGGTACTTATTCAAGAATTTAGACGAATTTCCGCATTAAAGATGCGTCGACGTCCTGGTAAATCCAGATGATGGGACAGACAGTTAAAGGAGGAGCAACATATGTTACAATTATGACGTCATGATTTATTAGCACCAAAATGGACCCAGACTGATCACAGCAGTTTATTATTGCTATTGTCATAAAGGAAGAAAACGGGGTAAACGCAAATATATATTTATATTTGCATTTGCTGTGCATTGTCACTATATTAACCTTGACCTTTGGATCCAAATTGAATTGATGTCCTGCAGATACAAACCATGCATACAGAAGCTTACCATATGAATAACAAATTCTATCAAATATAGTTTTTTTGTGAATAAGAGATAGCTGTCCAATACTGGATGTTGGGTGTTCCATTAATTGAAAATTTAACTTAAATCTTAAGAAGAGAAGTTTTTTAGCATCAATTTATTCTTTAAATCATAGAAAAATATAATCATAGCCATCAACTGCATTATGTTATAGTCCTATATATATTCTTAACAATCTAACACTTGTTATTCAAATTGTCTGCAATCTATTCAGAATTATAGGACTATTGCTCAAAACAGAATGCAGTTTAATGCAAATAGTGCTTTGAAATTGTGTTTAATAGAGTTATTGAGTGTTACTAAAGCCGTATACATAAAATAGACTTGCTTAAGTCCGTAAACTATATATTCTTAAAACAAATGAAATCAAAACGTGCGTACTTCCTTATACTGTTTTTAGCATGTCTCGATTTCAAACAATGTGCACCTAGTCACACACCACTGTTATGTTGTCATCTGACAATATCACAGCCTATCCTCGATTGAATTAACAAAAAAACACCTTACTCTCAATAGAAAAAATGATATTAAATATCATGAATTGTGTATAAAAACATTGAACAATAGATATGTTAATTAAAATAATTTATAGAAATAATAATAAAAAATAAGAGAATAAGAATTGCAACACTACGATGTGAATCCTGTAATTTTCAGTTTGGATAATAGCCCTACTCGATCCTTACAAGAATGCACTTTTTGCATTGGTAAATTTTCCTATAGAGTGAAGGGGGCAAGGGAGATTATTTGTATTTGCATCGAAATACCAAAATGTATTGAAACCACATGAGAAATAATGAAGTCAGGAAAACCGCGTATAATTAACGGAAACATTATTAACTAATTACAGTACTGGAGCTCGTTTAAATAAAAAGGAAATCTGGGCCAGTATTCACTGAACCGTTCTAATGCTCAAACTCTGATTCTGTGTTCAAGCCTTAACATCAGTTCCGGTGATAAATTAATAAAAAAAAATACTCATCAGTTACGAAGTAACATAAGTGTGGCGTTTACAATGCATA